TTTAGGCGATTTTAATGCCCACAATATACTTTGAAGACGCAAAAAAAAGATTCCTTGGGACATAAAATCGAACAAATTTTTAATGATTTTAATGTGAATATCCTTAATGATTCCATGGCTCGTTGGAATTCCATGTTGGAAATTCCATGGCACGTTCCATGGCTCGAGCCATGGAACGTGCAATGCTGAACGTGAGCCTTCGAAACCACATAACAAACCAACAAATCAGGCGAAGATCAGGAGTTCAAGACGTCATCGAAAAAACCACGACGCTTAAGTGGAACTGGGCAGAGCACTTAGCCAGAACACAAGATGGACGGTGGACAAGACGTATTATAGAATGGAGGCCCAGAAATTATAAAAGAAGCCGAGGACGACCACCGACTAGATGGACCGATGACATTAAACGTGTAGCGGGAAACTGGCTACAAGCGGCCCAGTGTAGAGAACACTGGAAAGAACTGAGGGAGGCCTATGTCCAGCAGTGGACGCGATTGGCTGATTGGTGATGATGATCCTTAATGATTAAAGAATCACAAGATTTAATATTTCCACTGGCGTTGGGTCCGCCATAGATTCATGCCTTTGTGATCCTGTCTTGCAACCATCTCTGACGTGAGATGTGACATCCCATTTGTATGGAACTGATCAGTTTCCCATACTAATTATAAACAATAACCGTATCTCCTCATCAATTTCATTCAATAAATGGTGTCTGAAAAATGCAAATTGGTCTCTTTACTCTTCTTTAATTTCACAAAAAAATTCTCAGTTGTTACAACTCTTCGATACAGAAATTGATATTAACTCCAAAGTATTCCATTTCGTACGGTTTTTAACGTCAATAGCTCACGAGTCCGTAGGTTTTTCAAAGTTTCCTCAAAATCATGCTCCAGTTCCATGGTTGTTAAACAGGAATTAAAGGCGTTGTATAAATTTAGAAGGTACCCAACTTTAAATAACCAACTGAAATTCAAAAAATTAATTGCCTACCGTAAATACACTTTAAAGAACAGTCAGAAAGAAACCTGGACAAAATATGTACCATCTTTAAATTCATCTACCCCTACTTCTGAGATTTGGAAAAAGATTAACAGAATGTATGGGAAAAAATCATTTAATACCATTTATTACCTAAAACGTGATAACCATATTTATTCAACAAAGCAAGAAATAGCCTTCGTACTAGCACATGTATATCAACAATATAGCAATGACGAAAATCTATATACAAGTTTTCTAGGTCATAAAATAAATTTAAGAATGCCTGTATACATCTTCATGACCATAACAATTTACCTCTAAATGTCATATTTGTAATGGATAAACTGTTAGAAACAAAGTTAAAGAGACACTATCCCAGGGCCTGACAGGATACCTGCTAATTTTTTAAAAAGCAATGCCAACGGAAGGCAAACAATATCTTCTGGATCTCTATAATTTTATTTGGACAAAGAATGTTTTCCCAATTAATTGATATGACTGAATTATCGTACTAGTTTTTAAACAGAGCAAGAATAAATCGGACCCAGGGTATTACCGACCAATATGTCGCACTTCTACTATGTGTAAAGTATTTTAAAAAGGTAACTAACAGATTAATATGGTACCTATAATATACCTATAACATTTTGCATAACGAAAGACTTGTGAAAATGGTATGGGAGGAGATTCCCACAGGCAAAAGACCACTCCAGAATGCGATGGAGAGATAACATCCGGAGATAAAGCAGATCTCCGGAAAATGAACATTCCATTTGACCCTAGGTTGATGGAAGACCGAACAAAGTGGAAAAAAGTTGTACAGTCAGCAAGACCCACCCAGGGTTGTAGCGCTACGTGATGATGATGATGACCTATAAGATTGACAACTACTTAGCCCTATACAAAGTGGATTTAGAAAGTCCAGATCTGCATTAGACATCCTAGTGGATATTGAATATGTATTTAATGGGTCATTTGGATCAGTTCAAGAATGTTTGGCTATATTTTTTGATATAACGCGTGCCTATGATACAATTTGGAGATTATATATCGTTAGAATTCTGTCTAGTTGGTAGGTTCAAGGAAGTATTATCAAATTTATTAGTAATTTCCTATTCCTATAGACAAAACTTCCAACTTCGATTGGACAACCTTCTTTAAGACTCCAAAAGCCAATTAAACGGCATTCCTCAAGGGTCTACTCTTAGTGTTACACTTTCCTTATTGCCATCAATGGCATCGCTAAATCATTTAGCCTATTAATCAAAGCCCGTCTATTTGCTGATGATCTTATATTCTCCCGAGGAAAAACTATATTAACCATTTACAAACTTGAGAATTGGCCTAATACTGCTGACCTAGAATTTTCTTCCACCAAAACGAAAGCAATCATCTTCAGGTAAAACTCCAAAGAAGCACAGAAATTCTACCTATAAAGAATTTACCAATAAATTATTCAGAATCGATTAATTTCTTGGGAGCAAAACTGGATAATCGACTATCTTGCAAGACCACATCCACTCACTCCGGCAGTCAGCCCAAAACGGCTTCAACTTAATAAAAAGTATCACTTATAAACAATGGGGTGCCGACTTCCGAACTCTTATGACTGTTTACAAAACCTTGAACAGTGCAGAAGAAGAAGATATAATATATAGACACAATAATTCCACCCACTTACAATATTTCTAAAGTCAGTGAACACATGTTACAATGGACAATTTCTCTCCCTGATTGTAATACAAACCTTTCTGCATTCAAGAAATGTGACACACTAGCCAAAATCTTCAAATAGAAAGAACTACAGATATAAAATACTTTTAATGATTACAGCCGCATTTTTAATGACGCATTCAGACCTGCAAAAGGAGTAGGAGCGATTTTCACAACAGATAACCATAGCAGTTATCTGTTGGGTTATCTCCCCAAACCTCCATATTCTCCGCTGAACTCTTTGCTATCCTCTAATCATTAACGTCAAATACTCTCTTAATTATTAGTTGAGTGCATTACATCCCCAAAGTAAGTAGGATCGAATCAGAAATGATGTAATAAAACAACGTATGGGAATAGAAGGAAATATAACTCAAGATATAGAGAAGAAACAATTAAGGTGGTATGGGCATTCAAAGGATGTCAGCAACAAGACTTCCCAAAAAAGTAGTAGAATGGCAACCGATAGGTCGACGGAAAAGAGGAAGATCCAGATTAGAATGGCAACACGGCGTAAACAAGTCCATGAGCGAAAGAAATTTAACAACAAACGACTGCGAAGATAGGAAGAGATGGTGTTTAGGCATCGGACAACGTCGAAAGACGTTCTAAACCGATGTATATATGATGATTTAAATCATCTCCTGTGACATCAGCCATTTGGTCTGTGTCGTCGTTTCAACTGACAAGTGCCACGCGCAAGTATTCGAGCTTAAGAGACATGTAGTCCCTAAAGTAAATTTTAATTTAAAACCAAATCCATTGTCATCGACCTAGAATCTTAACATTATTAAATGTAAAATGTGATAAATTTTTAAACCAACACATGGAAGTCATAGACACCATATTGTTAGCACCAAATACCAAAGGCACTGAAGATGATCTTTAGAGATTGAAAACGTTCTGCCGTAATTTTAAATGTTGACGACACTTTTTTAAAAATTTTTTAAACACTTGTATGTTTTTATACCAAAATACACAATTGTGAAGTGTTTTAACTTCTGTGTTTTTTTAAACGATGGTATACAGCCAATTACGGGATTTTTCCCATTAATTTTTAAAAAAAGAATACTTTCATAATCGATCAAAAACATATTCTCAGAGGGATATCTATATCAGATTGGTTAAAAAAATGTTATCATAAAAAGTATCATAAAAAAGCAATTTTAAAAATACCAATCATAGTAAAAAGATGGAAGCGTGGACAAGAAAAATGAAATATCCACAAAAATCACACCGAAACAAAAGGAGACCTAAAATTAGAAACTTAGAAATCAAAAAGTAGCTGAGTCAACACTAGTGAACGTAACGTAAATATAAGAAGTATGAGAGAAACTATAACAAAATTAAATAATAAATGATCAATGTTCGGTCAAATATGAAACCAAAATATAATAGAACTTCACAAAAATGGAAGCCTAGAAATAAGTGTAAAATGTGTAAAACAAGGAAGGAGTAGCCTCAATTGGTGTGCAATAATAAATAAAAAACACCCTCTACACAAATAAGATTAAACACGTGTATATCTAAGAATTGTTATAGTTGACAATATACTATTTATTAAAAAGCAATTATCATTTCGAACGAATTATTCATTTATAAATAAATAAAAAACGGTATCGAAAATGTTCAAAAATACATTAAAAAGGAACCAAAGCTATTAAAATGGTATGTGCTATAATTTTTGGCACTAATTTAATAAATAAGATGTATCGAAAATATCAGACAGTCACTATAAAGCATAATAATATTATAGTTTTGAAGATTTACCTATTTTATACAGTTACAATTTCAACTAAATATTGATATTTGAAGGTCATTTAAGTGTACAATGCCAATATTCCATTGTTATCTCTAATAATAATATAAAACAAAAACTGTGGATAGATCATCCATTATTATTTTAATCTAAAAGCTATATATCTTCGTACCTTTGTTTGTAAAATAAATTTTTAATAATGTAAATATGACTGTCGATCACATGTTTTATTATTTAAAAGTACTGTGTTTTAAAAGTATGTTTAGGTCATAAATTTGAATTGTATTATTTGGAGAGTGTTTCGGGTAAATGCGTATTGTCAAAGACATTCCACTCCTTTGTTAACGAGTTTGTAATTGAATGCTGTTGTCACGTCTGTCACAAGTCTTATTTAGAAACAAATCTATAAAAAGACGAACAAAAGTGCACTAAAGGATATAAACACAATAACTATTGATCGTCAGAGAAAAAGCTACTGCGACAACTGTTGATGCAAACTTCCAATGCCAACAAGTTGCAGTTGATACATATTGCTAGGACTTACCTCTTTTTGAGCTGACATGTCCGTAGAGACGGCTAAGATCTATGGCCATGATAGAGTGCGGTATGGCAGCACACATGACCACGAAGACGGCGACCAGCAAAAGGGGATGAGCCGTTGGCGCCTCCCGGACCATAGCTGGGGCACAATAAAGGGAGCGGCTAGCGAAGCGGCAGCTCAGAGAAAAGCCGCCCTTCCCTGCTCTAATACTTATACACACCAGCCGTGAGCCGATCACGACCGAGACCGACTTGTTAAGGGTAGCTTGCTTCGTTGTTGGGGATGTAGTCCGGTCATTTTACCTATTATACTGACCCACCTGTAAAAACATACTTGGTCCTATTTTTAAATAACAAGTCGTAGTATATTTTATTGCAATTATACAGATTGCTAGTAAAAGGTAATTTAAAGGAGATTAAATCGAATTTTAGTGTCCACAAACGACAATTTAAGAATCAATCAAATAAAATTCATCCTAATCTACCATATCAAGAATTTTTCTTGAAGAATTGGCAAAATTAACGAAGAAGAATGATTTCCAAGAAGCTCGCAATTAAATAACATGAAATGTGTTAGGGAATATATTAATATATTTGTTAATTTCGATTTTTTTATTTGCGTTATGCCAATGTACAATAAATTGTTTCAGTTATAATTTCCATTTTACCCAAACTTAGAATGAGTGTATTACACTGCTTGTTTATACATATTCATCGACACTAACGATTAAACACTCTTGAAAACTACACTTAAAATTATTTATTTTAATAACTAGTATTATTCTTCACCCAGAATAATGTTTAGAGCGATCCATACACAGTCGATTAAAAATACACAATACAGATACAAATTAAACTGACCTGTGAACTGGACAAAATACAGGTGCAATGAAATAGTAACTTAGTTCGTTCATTCATTCATTCATTTATTCATGTATTCATTCATTAAGCGTTACAATCATTAGGATTATAGCTAAATTAAAAGGTGGATTATTCTTCTAAGTCAATTATAGCTTGCTGTGTGTCTTTGATGCTGTCGTGACTCTTTCCCATTTCTTCCTGTCCTTGCACAGTTCTTTCCAATCTTTAACATTCATTGTTCTTCTACATCATCCAGCGATCTTCTTCTACGCCTTCCTCTACACCTGTGTCATAGTGTTGTCCAGTTAGTTATCCTTCTCAGCATATCTGAGTGTGGTCGTATCTGTATATGTCCTATCCATTCTAAGTGAAGAGATTTATTTTTCTTCAATTTCGACATTTGCTTTTATTCTTATTCTCCCTCTCTTGTTACATTGGGCCCAGTAAGAACAGGTCTTAAGGTCTTATATAGGATCATCTATGTTCTCTTACTTAGGGTCTTGCTTCTTAGGAGAATTTCTATTCATTCCATACGTTTTTTTGCCGTTCGGAGTTCTTTTCTTTGTCCTCTCTTTTCCGGTTTTCATTATTGTTACTCTCAAGTAGCTAAATGTGGATACAGTCTCAAATTTGTAGTGCTATGTTATTACATGTTTATGAGTTGTTGTGGCGTCCTTTCCTATCATCATGTATTTAATTTTGTGCTGCTTTTTCTGTAGCCCTATTCTCTTTGCTTCCTTATCTAATTTTTTAATTCCTCTTATAAGTGTCATCTTCGTCATTGCTATGATAACTAGATCATCTGCATATTAATATAGTCTAACCAGATACCTAAGATAATCATGAATATTCAGCTTAGCGGGGCTATTGCTCTGAGGTGTAAAATTGCATAAACAAGGAGTTTACCTGTTTTATAGTAGTAATAGTACTACACTGAGCTGAATAATAATGAGTCTCTTAGATGTCTTGGACTTTACTTAAAGTTGATCTGTAGTAATGTTTTTGTTTACCAAGTTTGTCCTCCTTATTATTGCTTCTAATATCAGTGAGATCTGTTAGATGTGACAGCTTTGATCTGGTTAGTTGTTCGGTTAAAACTTATCTTTGCTGTGGTGTTCTTAAGACTCACTGTTAGCATACGTCTTCATTTTTATGGGATTTCAAGATGCTCTAGCTCTTCATCATTTTTGCCCAATTAATTGTATCAAAAGCGTTTTTGAAATCTATGAATATTACGTGCATTCAATTTTTCACATGCGATGCGAAAAACAATGTTATATTTCTCGCTGTATCATTTCGTATAATTCTCAACTTCAACATGAAAAACCATCACTTAATCCAACCTTGAGTAATAATTCCTAACTAATTTTAACTCCACCCTGTTGATATATAGATAGTTTTTAAACTAGCAAATAGAAATGACTCTCTCTGATCTTGGCGTTCGTACCATGCGTTCGAAGTGCTTTTTCTGTTCCTCTCTCGCTGTTAACTCGCGTGGACAACAGACGCTGTTTTCATGCTCTCTTACTTAGGTGTGGCTATCGAAGACAGACCTTTTTAGCAAGCAAGCAATTTGATTGAACCCAGCCTATGAGAAATGTTCACCCAGGTAGTACAAATGGGGTGTAACAATTCATTGGATCAAGGTGTGTTAACTCGAGTAAAAACAGGAGTCACCCCACCGTACTCCAATCCTCTAGACCATCCCTTTCCCCCCTAAAGCAATCTGATTCGCTATAGAGGCACAACAATCAGCCAAGTGCTCTTCATGTGGAGGTCCTGGGTAATAGAACCCCAACAAGGTTTCCTAACCGAATGCAAAAACTCAGGACAGCGCATTTCCGCTATATTCCTGTTTATCTTAATGTGGCTTATCCGCGAACTAAACAGACTGAAGAGACCTTTTTACACACCTCTCTCTGATATTTATCCCGAAAACAGAACACAGTTTTTCTCTCTTAGTGATAACCACTAGTTACCACGCGAAAAATACCGGAAACCACTCTCTGCTGTTGACTTGCGTAGACAATAGACCTCTCTATAGAGGTCTATATAGATCGGTAGGTAAAATAAATTCATTATTTTAAATGAAAGCGTTTGCTGTCAATGCTATGTTCTAGGCGAGGATATGATGTACGTTCTTCGTTATGAACGTACCCCAAGTTTGCTCCTACCAGATAGCAGGCGCTTTTCGCTCCCTCTGAACTTGGCGTGCGAACCGAATAGACTTGATATTTCGATCACTCTCTTGGCAGTTGACTCGCGTGGAACCTACGTGTTCTCCTCCCCTCTTATTGATAACAACTAGTTAACAACAACGTGATACAGTGAATAAAAACCGCTAATCCGCTAAAGATAGCTCCCTTCGTACGAGGAACAACCGCGTATGAATACCGCGAATCAAAATCTGCTCTGCAATAATCGAAACCTGTTGAATGTGTGTAACAATGACATTGATAAGCTTTTTTATAAACTTAATTTGGTTATTGTCTGCAGAACCTTAATTAGTCTCTCCTAACAATTTAGAACCACAGCTATTTAATATAGTTCTCATTCTCAGAAAATATATTAATAATTTCACACATATACATGCCTTAACTGTACAACGTGCATACGGAAATAATTGTCGATCTACCGTTCTAATATACTCCTAACATTCGTTCAGCGCAAGATTTAAGTTTCATATTTACTATATTTGCTAGAATTTTATATGCGGTTGCTCTGTAATTCTCGCACTCCTTACGATCTATTTTTTTTGTATAGATAGGCACTATAACTCCTTGTAACGCCTGTGTTCCAATCATATGGTACGAGGGTTATCTTCGTTATTTTGTACATAGCCATAAAGACAAAAAAATATGTAGACTTAAAGTACTTTATTGCTTTTCAAAGATCGATACACTTCTGCATACATTCAAACCAATTTGTAAAACAGTTAGGCATCGATAGCTTCTTCCGGCAACTTGAATCGCTGCCCACACACTGCATTCTTGATCTTTGGGAAGGTGAATAAGTCGTTGAGACTTAGGTCGAGGATGTACGGTGGATGGTTTAACAATTCGATGTTTTGAAGCTCCAAAAACTCTATTGTCTTTTGGGCAGTGTGAGTACTTGCATTGCCCTGATTTAGGATGATTCGGCGCTGTGTGTTGGTTTGTCGGAGTTTCGCGATAACTTCTGCTAAACAAACGGTTATATACGAATCAGAAGCAATTATTGTCACATGACCAGATTTTGACATAAAAGTTGCGACTATTTTCTTTGACGAACTCTATTATCGGTCCCAGTGGGAAATAGGAGTAGAGGCAGACCATGACTGAGATGGAGGGACGGTGTGGACGAGGACTCAAGGAAAATCGGCTCGGCAAATTGGCAACGGTTGGCGATGAACAGAAACTACTGGCGAAATAGACTGGGGAAGGTCAAGGCTCAACTAGAGCTGTAGCACCATTGATGATGATGATTTTCTTTGACACACTTCGAGAACTGATCACTTTTATTGGTTTGTAGCAGCAGATTGGCGTTTATTTTTCGGTTCGAATGAGTAAATCCAAGAATCATTACCACTACTTAATAATACTATAAACGTTTTTTGAGCTTCCTTTGTTGACTATGTAAGCAAATAAAGATCCAACAGGAAACCAATTTCGGAACACCCAGTTCTTCATGTAGGATCTTTTGGATCGAGGTCTTTGAAATGACCAAATATGCCTCTATGGCCTGGCCTGGATTCGTTGCTGAGACTGGAGCGATCACGTTGAAATTCGCAGTACCAGCGGGAAATATTTGACTGGTGTGATGCTTCATTCCCAAACACAGAAACCATTTCAGCGAGACATTGCTGTTAAGACAGTCCTCTCCGAAATTTCTGCTTCGTTGTTATCTTGTACTATTGTACTTTTTCATCGCAGTGTTTTCTCGTAATAAATAGCATTTTTTCGTAATATTTTTCCCATATTCTGCTGATCTATTTATCTGCAAATACGGTTTCTCCTTGTTGGTAAATAGTTCGTAAAACCTTCTATCGAAGGTCTAGTGTGAGGGTTTTCAGGTCGCACAAGAGTCCCTAACACGACTTAACGACTACTTTCGTAACCGGGACCGACGGCTTTACGTGCCCTCCGAAGCATGGTGGCAGCTCAATTAAATTAGAAATTGAAAATTTTGTCGGTGCCGGGATTCGAACCCGGGAACTCCAGCTTGTTAAACCAGTAACATAGCCACTGAGCTACGGCTGCCAGTCCTTTTTGGTTTTTTGCTTTTTGCCATTTTATGCTTTTTTTCTGTATTTTTTAATATCCTCTAGTTTTTCATTTAACGAGTCATTTTTCTTCATTTTCTTTATTGCCTAAAGTTTAACTATTGAGAAAAG